TCTCTCTCTCTCTCTCTCTCCACAGTCAAATTCATAGTGATCCTCCTGTTTTCAGCCTCCCAAGCATTAGGATTATAGGTATGAGCCACCATGCCCAGCCTCAATCGTCCTCTCAGTGTGCCCTTGGGGCAGGGCTGGAACAGCATGCTGGGGGGACCGAGCCCCCATCCCTGTGTCTGCCTAAGCAGGCACTTTAGTCTGCTGAGCTCTCTGGCTGGCCCTTCATAAAGTAAACACATTTCAATTATTTAAAAATTATATTATTGCCTTCTGTTTCAGTTCAGAACTATTTTGGGTCCTTTATGCATAATGAAAGTATGATTTTTTAAAAAGTTATGTATTTGGTACAGGATCTCACTATGCAGCTTGAACTCGTAGTAATCTTCCTGTTTTTAGCCTCTCCAAAGCTGGGATTACAGGCGTGTGCCACCACACCTGGTCTTGGTGGCCTGCTTGGCGCACCCAAGGCAGGGCGGGCACAGCATGAGGTACGTGGGATCGAACTGGGTTCTTGTGCTTGCCTAAACTGGCTCTTAGACCACTGAGCTATCTTCATGGCCTGAAAGTATGATTTTTGAAGGTTTTGCTTTTTCAAACAAAGCAGAAAGCTGTCATCATGCTTATCACATCTATTTTATTTTTTTCTATCCCTGTTCTTAACAGGACAAGAGAATGATTCAACAAAGAATGACATAAATCTTGAGACAGAATCCCAGAGCTCATATATGGAAACTGAAGGTACTGAAACCATAATATATTATATTCAGTAAAGAAAGATGAAGCTGGGAATCGTGACCACTGTGTAGAAAGTGTGACTGTGAGTGGTGTGTGTGTGTATGTGTGTGTAGACAGTGAGTCCATGAGGATGACAATAGTGTGCTGCTTTCAGAGTCTCCTGAACTTTCATGGAATGAGAAACAACTGTAACTTTCTCTGCTGCACTCACTGTTTGCTCACTGATTTGGGCTAAAACATCCGAGTCCCCTTCTGTCTCATTCTATTTAGAGTTTTCATCAAACCAAGACGATGCTACAATTGTAGAGCAACCAGAAGTGATTCCACTGACAGATGATCAAGAAGAAGAAGAAGAAGAAGGTGCAAACGGTAAAACTGCTCTTAAATTAACCCGTCAAGAATAGAGAGTCTCCTTGGATTCCTGCCTGGAATCCAACTATCAAAGTTACTGTCTTGCAAATGCAGTCTATAAAGGGGGAAATGAACATTTCTTTAACTCTGAACTAGAATAAAATTTAGAAATAGCAAAAGAAGAGGCTCGTAGCGCATTCTTCAGAGCTCCAGTGGCGCAATCAGTTAGCACGCAGTACTTATACTGTAGTGCATTTTTTCTTTCCCGAATAGAATGAAGATATTTTAATTATTGATTTAGATTCAATTTAAAGCTTTAAACCTACAGTATCAAGAAAGTCTACAAGAAACCAAAATTATGCAATAGGGGGATACAATTTACAGAAAATCTGAAATAGCTTTAAAACAAATAGACTAACTTTATGTATTGATTTCATTCTGCCTTCCTCTGTATGATAATGATTAAAGAAACAAATACTTTAAAATATGCTTAGTATATGAACCTTCTAAAATTTCAAGTTCATCTGCTGATATTAACATACAATAATATTGAGTACTTTTTCAAAAATAAGTGAGATATAATGATATTTAAAGATATAGGAGGAATGAGCACCTGGTAAATATTAGTTTGGGGGCAATAAGCCAGTCTATTACAATGAAAGCAGACCTATTTTATAAAAAGCCTTTTAGAAACTTCTATCAAACAAATTTAGCATTTATTAAAGATCTCGAAGACTCCAGTTTTCAGGCATAATGTACTTCTTTTTAAAAGCTCATGAAATATTTTTGTTGCATTATGTCATGTATCATACTGCTCTTAAATAGGACTTTCCAAGCCAGTTGCAAGGTCATAAGTTGTTAGACTTTGTTTATAGAATGCTACAATCAAGTTTTTTCCGAATTAAAAGGTAGACATGATGTCAATTGTAAAACCAGGTCAACAGCAACTACAGCTTCCAAATCATGAGTGCTTCTTGGCAGCAGCATTAACACAGTTTAATTGCTAAACTATGTTAGTGATTTTTTGACACTTTGTTATAATTTCTATTACATAGATAGCACAATTCTTTCCCATAACTGTGTCTCTACATTTTCTCTGTTGTAAATCCTAATTCAGCCTCATGATATCATGTTCCTGCCTAGCAAATGAATCACTTCTTTGAAATACTTTATGTCTAACAATGATAATAGAGAACTGATACAGCCTTTTGTTCAGGTTCAGGCACATGACATTACTTCCTTCAGTTTTACTCCTAAAATGAAAAATCTACAACGCATGCAGCTTTGCTTAATTTTTCTACTGTAAAAATTATTTGCTTTGTATATTATGCCTGAAGAAATGTAAATGAGTTAAAGAACATCAAACAACTCATGCATTTCCCTTCAGCTACGTGGTCCTACGAAAGAAAAGCTCACATTCAACACGCACATTCCTATCATGAGCGTTCCTCTGTTCCTATGACTTTTCCTGTCTTCCTTATAGGTATACCAGTTCTGTTCCATGAATGGTGAGATGGCATGTGGCAAAGGTACAAGGTCTGCTACATGCTTGTAGCAACTTTGAGGTTGAATTTCATTATTGAAATTTGACTTTTCACAGGAAGACAGTGATACTGGTGGGCTTGAGTTAACATTTTTCCTTCTTGTCTTCATTCTAGATACTTAACTTGATTCTTCCTTGAACATTTCTGGTGTTTAAACTTGACCTAACTTTTAATGCATCACCTTTGTCATTCTTTTCATCAGAGTTGAATTATTCAGTTATATATATGAGAAAAGTACTTATTTTATTTTCTGTTGCTAATAATGCCACAGATTAGGAAAGTTACAAAGGAAAAGAGTTTATTTCAGGTCATGTTTCTAGTGGTTCAAGTCCCAGTTCTTACATCTTTCTAGTAGAGTCCTGCAGCAGCAAGTGCATTACAAGGCAAGGAGCACAAGCATGAATGTGTATATATGTGTTATAGATCTCTCTCTCTCTCTCTCTCTCTCTCTCTCTCTCTCTCTCTCTCTCTGTAAACTAGCAGGATTCAATTATGGAGGCAACCCCCTAATGACATTGTCTAACACTAATCACTTGCCACAGACACTGCCTCTAACCACCTTGTGGTAGAGTTAATTTTGTACCCACTTAATACCACATAATGGGGATTTAATCTCAACATTGGAAGCCTTGGGGGGGTTACTCAAACTATATACCAATCATGTAGTACCCAAAGGAAAGGAGAACCATGTAGATTCACCATGGGCCTCATAGCTCCTCTCTAACAATGATAAGCAGGGTGGCCTCGGACAGGTTACTGAATATGTCTGTTTCAGTTTCCTCATCTGAAGATGGCAGGGACAAAAGTAACTGTCACATACAGTAAAGGAGAAAATTTGACCAGTAATATGTGTAAAGCAGTGATGATACCTGTCACATAGAAAGCACTCCTTAACTACTTGGTATTGATTGTAATTTGATGAGAGGATGCCAAAGGCAAGAGAATCCACATGTCCATATTCCAAGTTCATCATTGTCCTTTTGAATCCATAGAAGCCTTACAGATTCTACAATTAACCACATCACCAACAAGTGGCCCCTCCCACTTGCTCGGTAGAACCATATCAGACATGCAGTTTCACTGCAATTATAAACTGTACAAGTTATTGTCTATGTTATTCTATAAAAATGGAACATTTGTGGATGTTGAGGTGAAAGGTGTGTTTCTCACTTATAAGTTCATTTTTCTTTTTAAAAGTGTCAATCTTCTGTTTAGGAAATAATGATAAAATCACCATCGTTTCTATTTTTAAAGAAACACACCACTGAAATATTGATAAATCCACAGAATACAAGTAGTAATTAAATTTAAAGTAATAGAATTTACTTTGCTTTCTGTTCATTCGTGTAATTATTAGAGAGTCTTGTCTGAAAACATTTAGAGGCTATACTTCCATGTTTTATGTAAACTCCCACAAAGTAACCTTTTAAAGAAAATTTGCACTAAGAATTGTCTATAAGCAAAAACAAATGAGTATTCTATTTGTAGAATATTCTTTATAGCTCTAACAATATCAACTCACTTTTATTATGAAAATCTTCTTAAGTAGGCAGGAACTGATTTCTTTAAAAGATAACAGACCAGGGAAAAAATGTATAACTTTTTTCTCTCATTTTGCTGCATTTTATAAGAGTAGAAAATATAGATAAACTTCAGGACGCGTCGTCTATGGCTCCCAGGTGTATGAGCACAGATGTTGCAACATTAAGTTTTGAAGTTATCTCCGCCAAAATATGGATTTAGAAAAGAAAGAAAAATATTCAGCAGAAGTTCATGCTGATAAAATTACACAATAGCACAATGGACATATCCCTGGGAGACCTAAAATACAAAAATTTCAACAGGCACAAAGTGAGGTTTCACATATGGCCGGTTTTCTCATATAGCCACATTGCTTTTTCTTAAATGAGACCAGTTTTATGCTCTCCCAGCAGGATCTGCAATAAGTATAAAACTCATTGGAATAACATCATTTAGGCTAATAACCAAACAAGAAAGAATTGCAGATCTTTAAAAAGGGTCTCATGTTTTACTATACGAGTTATACACACTCAATATTTAAACATTTTTCATAAGATTTTTTATTTCTACTTCAATTCAAAATATTTGATATAAAATCTCAACTATATCATTATGCAATTAATACATCACACAACTTCCACTGGTGTTTTGTCATGAATACATACAGTACATTTTCTTTAAGTTTTACATAGAATGCATACATTTAGTCCCAAGTATTATTCTTGTTTGAATAGGTACAACATGGAGCAGTAATACTTTATCTAAAGTTGACCAAAATGTTGATGGATACTCAAGACCTAAAGTTTTCTTGGGAAAAGGTGAATAGACAAACATGTGAGTAGAGAATTAAGTACAAGCCAGTGACAAGAGTAAATTGTTCAGACTATTTTCCATGCCTATATCTTGTAGTCTGAGTAACTACTTTATCTTTTTTAATAATTTTATTGAGAAACAAATAGTAATGAGGGTTTCAAAACCAATTAGTAGGACAGTTTCAATAATAAATATATTGCATATTGTCATAGTGGTTATTCATTGTACAAGATGCAGGCATGATATCCTGTCCACAAACACTATTAGAACAAATGTTTTTATTCATTGAATTAAGAAAATGTAGCTGTATATCTATCCTAACTATTTTGAATATACAGATACAAAATGGTCATTCATTTGTATCCTCTTTTTTTGTTTAGTTTTGTCAGAGAAGGCTATTCCATTGTCATTTAAATATTGTAGGTGCATGAATTCAGCAAAATATTCTAATATAGTCCAGTAGTCCATAATAGTAGTGGGTTGTCCATAAGACTGGCAATGTCAGAAGTTGTTGACTTGAGCCTTTCACAGCTCAGCATATTAATATGGCTTTACTTTTTATACCTTGTTTTTATACTTTTCTGCTGGATGGTTAAGACCAAGATAAAGCAAGACTTATATAACAAAAAGTGTAACTTTTGTATCTGATAAGGTCAGTCAAGTCCCCTCAGGATTTATCCTGAAACCCTGTACCATACTTTGTAGATACTTTGTCAGTGTCAGCCATGTAGATGAGTTACAGCCATTGCCTGAGTGAAAGCCTGAAAGAATGTTTTCTCTCCATGTGACTCTCCTTAGGCATACTCTACATCATCAATCACATTTCTCTGTGGCCTCATAATCTACTCGATCAGAAAATTTGGGACACAATTTGAGTTACATGATGTTACAGTGTAGGTTCTCCTATGTCCTGGGTCTCCACTGACCTTGAAAGGCTAGGGCCAAAATGTTTGCTGTCCTTTCAGCCCTTCTTTTTCTCTAATTTTTGGTCTGTAAATTTAAGCTGTTAACCTTCTGGAAGAGAAGCTTATTATTACCCTACAACATATGCAGTTGGGTTTAATCTAACTATCTATCTGAATATCAAACACCTTAGGCATAGATAGCAATATGCAAAAGGTTTTGCTGAGGTTTGTTTGT